TGTACCTATCACTTTATGCTCTGTGAAATTGCACGTGTTATCATCAATATGTTCCTGCCAGTTTCTGCTATGTGGATATGTGAGTGTAGTTATCATTCAGTTGCTGTCAGTTTGCTATGTGAATGTGAGTGTGGTTATTAATGTGTGCATACCAGTTTCGATTATGTGAATATTTTTATCAATCTTTACGCCTCAGTTTCTGCAAAGTCAATATGCGAGTCTCATCATGAATTTTTTTTGGTCTGTTTCTGTAATATGAATCTAAGAGGTTAGGTATCAATCCATACTTGTTGCTTTCTACTTCTAAAAGTGGCTTAATTGTCAGCAATCAGTAATTTTATGGGTTGAGGTGTGACTCATAATGTGATAGATGTTATTAGAGTAATTTTATGTAGATTTCCTTCAATTCCTGAGTGTATACTTTGAACAAGGATACAGTCTATCCATCTTCAAAAATGGTGTAAATGTCAATGGGCTATGAATGGTGAAATTTGTTGGAACTGGGCATTTTGAATGGAGAGAAAAGAAAAATAAAGTTGCATTGCCTCTGTGTTGTTTTACTGTTGGTTTGAACATATCTGTTGGAAATTAAGCTCACTGTGTGTCTGACTCAATCCGCTCTGTGGTTGTGGAAAGGATGTTCTCTGCTCTGACAGTGGTAACATACCTGCTGTTTGTTAGAACAAGCTGGTCACACTCGGCTTTGTCCTGAAGAAATGTTACATTGTCCTGGTCCTTCAAGTTTTGTCAATAGGAAGACAGAAAAGATAGCTCCTGTAAACCAACATCAGTTGGGTTTGAAAATATTTAACTGATCAACACAACATTTAGTCAATAGTCATTTGGATATTTTATTTAATCGCCAGGAATTCTAACATAACTATGGGTCTGATTCCAATCTTGCCCTGAGCTGCTTCTTGTCTGATCATTTTTAAAGACTTCAACACCATTTGAGTGAGGTCCCGAAAGTAACCGATACCTGTACAGCTCCATGACTGCAACTACCTAATGCAAACCTGTCTGTGGATATTAGTTTAGTTACTGATTTATTCATATCAATTCCTACTTGGTGAATGTGAGAGTGTAGTTGTCAAACTTGGTAAATTATTTGTGTATTACACAGCAGAGACTGACAAGGACAGAATGATATAGATCTATAGATCAACTTAAATGATCCAGCACAGAAGGCGTCCATTTGGCTCATCATGCCCGTGCTGACTCGAACACCACCAAATGGCCATCATAATCCCATCTTCCTGCACACATCCCATAGCCCTGCAGCTTACAGAACTTAAGGTGGAGGTTCAGGTATGTTCTTAAAAGAGTTTAGAGTCTCTGCCTCCACCAACTCAGGCATGGTATTTGAGATACGCACCCTCTTGTCAAAACAATTTTCCTCCCATCACCTCTAATCCTTCTGCCACTTCGCTTTAATCTATGACCGATGGTTTTTAAATTCTCTGCCAAGGGAAACAGGTTCTTCCTGTCCACTCTCTCTCCCCCTCCCAATTTCATATGTCTCAATCATGACACTTCTCAGCTTTCACTGTTCCAAGAAATACAACACCAACCTCTCTAATCACACCTCGTAGCTACAATTCTCCAGCTCTGGCAATGTTCTCGTATAATTTCTCTGCACTGTCTCCACAGCAGTAACATCCTTCCTGTAATGTGATGACCAGAACGGCACACAATACTCCAGTTCGAGCCTCACTAGTGTCTTATGCAGTTTCATCATTATCGCCCGACTTTTATGTTCCAAACCTCTGCCAAAGTAGGACAGCATTATATACACCTTTTTTTATAACCTTATCTACCTGTACTGCTACCTTCATATTCCGGTGCACTTGCACACCAAGACTACTCGCTTTATCTACCACACCCACTGCCGCCGCCACCTCATGTATTCCTATTTATTGTTTCACCTCCGAAATGCATTACCTCACACTTATCAAAGTTGAACTCCATGTGCCACTTATCTGCCCACGCCACAAAACCATCTATATCATTTCGGAGCTGATAGCTGTCCTCTACACTACCCATGACATGGTTATTTTTGTATTGTCTGCAAATTTCCAAACTGTGTCCCTCATGTTCAAGTCCAAATTGTTAATGTATAAAACAAACAGCAGAGGTCCCAATACCAAGCCGTGTAGAACACCACTTGAAACAGCTTTCCATTCACAAGGGCAGCCATCGACCATTACCATTTGTTTCCTGTTGCTAAGCCAACTTTGGTTCCAATTTAAACACATTGCTCTGTATCTCATGAGCTTTTCTATCTTTGAGTAGTCTGCCACGTGGTACTTTGTCAAATACCCATTACACTACCCTTACACATTCACATGGCATTTAGCGACAGGGACCGATTGATAAATACAATTGCGTCTTCACACAGCAATCAGTGTCTGTTTCTGCTGTATAGATATGTGAGTTTTGTTATTAATCTGTTTATGTTAATGTATGAACACACAACACAAATATTTGAGTGGTGTTATCAATCTGTACCTGTCTTTTTCTGCCCTGTGAGTCTCAGAATTTGGTTATTCATCTTTAACTATCAGTTTCTGCAATGTGAATATACAAATGTTGTTATTAATTTGTAACTGTCAGTTTCCTCTACATGAATATGTGAATGTAGTTATCCATTTCTACCTGTCATTCTTGACTATGTGGATATACAAACATTATCATCAAACTGTCTCTATCATTATCTGCAGTGTGAATGTTTAAGTGCATTTATAAACCTTTTCCAGTCAGTTTCTATGTTGTGAGTATGGAAATATAGTTATTAATCTCTCTGTGTCAGATTCTGCTCTGTGAATATGAGAGTATAGTTATCAAACTGTACCTGTCAGTTTATGCCATGTGCAACTGGGCGTGTAATATGAACCTCTTCGTATCAGTTTTTGCTTTGCGAATATGAGAGTGTAGTTATATAGTCATAGAGTCATACAGCTGGAAAACAGACCCTTTGTTCCAACAGTCCATGCTGACCACAGGTATCAATTTCATTCTTTTCCTTTCAGCATCCACTCGGAGAACCATTTACCATAATGGGAGAGGGGAGAGTATTTAGGTCATCTCTCCTGTAGTGAATAGGAAAGAGCCTAAGTTCTTCAGTTGTTCGTGTCAGTAGCATTCATAGGCAAATGAAAATGCAAGACATTGCAACAGAAATGAGTCTGTGCTTTTTTTCAGAGTTGAGGAGGGAAAAGCAATGGACCTTTGCAACTGCTATATTGCAGAGTCTAACCAGCAGTGGTGATATCAAGGGACATCTTCAAGATGATACTAGTATTGTTTCACATTGCATAGTGACATAACGTTTTGCAATACTGCTGAAGTAAAAGGTATTAATTTAATATGTAATTGCCAAAAGGAAAGTGCAATGAACAAATCAACTGCATTGCAGCTGACTGACCACAATGTTCCTTGTGCAGGAAAGAAAATTGGCTTATTTACTTCTATTTGATTTTGTGGCTCAGACATTACCCTCTCTATGTGGGGAGGAAGAAGACAGAACTTTTGTCTTCTGTCATGCAGTGGAGAAACTGGAACAGTCAAATTAAATTTACTGAAGAATAAACATTGTTGAAATCTCCTGGCAAAAAAAAAGAGAATGTTTACATATCTACCTGATTTGGCTAAATCTTTCTTTCTCCACTGTTCTGAAGAATGGCTTTTTATTATGTTGCTTATTTGAGAAAATGGCATCTAGTTTTCTGGTGTATTTGATGTAATACTTCATAGGGAGTGTCAAGAGGAACACAGGGCTATTTGAACAAAATTTAAGTTAACTTGAAAAAAAAAGTCCATGATTATGAAGTCCTCTTGCTTATGACAGAATAAAAGAAAAATCTATTCCTGCTCGGTGACAAAATTGAGAACTATCCGGTGATAAAGGTAGGGATGGTAGTTCCTCTGCCACCATGATATATTTATGGAAATTGAATGCTGGCTGAATGGATGTAGAATTGTTGGCTGGTTGTTTCTAACCAGTACAGACTCTGAGAGAAAGGACTGTTTGCTGTGCTGCAGATGTCTATGACTATATATGTGAGTGATAATCATTTTGTATATATCATTTTCTGTTACCTGGAGTTTAAATGGAACTCCATAGCTGTTAGTCCTTGCATCATATCTGTCATTATGGTGTTTGCGTTTTGAACTAATTCTGAATCAGTCACTACCTGTGTCTGTCAGTCCATCCACATGGAGACAAAGCAGAGTTAATATTACAGGTCCTGTGACACTTCTTCAGT